ATATATATATATATATATATATATATATATATATATATATATATATATATACACACATATATTTTGGATCTTGGGGCACTAAGTGAAAGTTCCCAAGTAACGAGATGAAGATAAATGATGGTTATACGTGTACGAACATGTATCAGAGCATGTACATATAATTAGAGTATGTATAGAGTATATGTTAGAAACATGTAGCATGACATGTAAGTATACCTAGAGTATGTATGAATAGAAAATGATAAATATATACGTTGATACATAAGAGATGGTAGATAGAGATAGAGTATAATTATATGTAGTATAATCATAAGTGTGTGTATGTATGCTAGACATGTATGGTATTATGTAGAATACTTGTTAATAAACATAAATATAGATTAAGTACTTAATGAGTTAAGTACTAGATGTATAGTAGAAGATCTCTTAATGAGATAAAGAGATAGAATGTCCATGGGATAAGTATTATGTGACGAGTCACATAATAAATATAAAGAATAGTAGACAGATGATTTATTCGAGAATAAGATAGAGGTTCTTTCGGGGACAATAATATGGTTCATTCGGGAATAAGAGTATGATTCCTTCGGGAATAAGAGTGTGATTCCTTCGGGAATAAGAGTATGATTCCTTTATGAATGAGATTTTGTCCATGTGGGAAACAGAGATGATGATTATTTGGGGATGTAGGTAGATGGTTCCTGCGAGAATCCAGATTGTATATGATTAGAGAATATAGAGAAAAGGTTCCTTGAGATGAACAAGATAAGAGAGTTATTTGTAAGAACTTAGAGGTAATCCATGGGGGGGGTTAAGAGTAAGGAACCCATGAATGGATTTGTAACATCCCAAAAATAGTGATAATATTTTTCATTTTTGAAATCATAAAAACCATACATCATATGTATCAAAACCATCATAATACAAATGTATCAAAAACATGAGAGTAAAATGATCATCAATGCGGAACTCATAAGGGGATGATATGCGATCACATCGGACCCTTCCCTTTCGAACTAGAAGTACCTGAAAAAGAGTCAAACCACAAAACTGTAAGCATAAAGCTTAGTGAATTCCTTAAAATACCACATACCATACAAACATTGCCATGGGATACCCCCATGGTCTTGCATACAAGTGCATGGACTACCCTTATGGTCTTTCATACCATTGCCATGGGTTACCCCCATGGTCTTCCTTTGCAGTGCCTTAGCTACCCCAAGGTCTTACACACAAATGTCATGGGCTACCCCCATGGTCTTTCATACAAATGACACGGGCTACCCTCGAGGTCTTCCATGCAAGTATCACAAAGACAACTAACATCCTACATAACACAATCCAGTGGGTCGACATTGGTGCCTTCGACCCATAAGTACGGTGAAAAGACTCACCTCTCAGACGATAATCAACTATTACTTTTCTCACTGCCGAAAATATAGATGCTATACACCACCTATACAGTTATACAAGGTAAACCCTTAGCCCACCTTTCCAAACTAGGAGTTTGACCAAAAGTCAACTAAAGTAAAAAAGTCAATGGTCAAAGTTGACTTCAGTCGACTGCCACGTCATGGCCCACACACGACAAAACAGACGATGATTCCCTATTCTTCACGTTGTGGCAACCTAGGGCCACACCATAGGTACTAGGTTGTTTACAGCTTGATGGGTTAAGTCGTTTCCTTCGATCCTAAAAGCTCCAAAGCTCATATTTGGTCATTTCTATGGTCTAAATGGATAAAGTTTCCAACTTTATCCCTTAAGACCCTCTAAGAGATCAATATCTCAAACCCTAGGTCCAATAAAAGCAAAACATGACATGGACTTAACCATTAAGCACTTAATATCTAAAGTTCTTAGTCCATTAACTCCAAGAGAGTTTCCAACACCAAAACTAACCTAAAAGTTGGTGCTTTATAGACATGCATGTCTTGAACTCACATTAGGTTAAAATGAGGATTATGACAAAAAATCCCATGCATGGCTCAAAATCCAACCATACTTCAGATCCAAACCATCAACCACTCCAAATGTCCCAAGGATTCATAAAGTTGCAACCTTTATGGGATCTCACCATCCCAACAAACAAGAAGAACATGAATATGAGACAAAACTAAAGATCTAGCAACCTAACAACATAAAGGTGGAGTCTTGGACACTTACAAAGGTCCATAAGTGTGCTAAGATGAGGGATGTAAACTTGCTTGCTGGATCTTGGCTCACTTCTTCTTCCTTCTTCCTACAAGGTCTTCCAAAAGCACCAAATGGGCTTCAACAATGGAGGAAATTGATCGGGTTTTCTTCAGAGCTTAAAATGGTGATGGAGGTTGAGTATGAGCAAACCCTAGCCTCCTTATTCATTTAAATAGGGTGAAAAACCCAAAATATTAGGGTTTAAATCTCCAACAGCGACCACACCGTGGCCTATAACCTGCCACGTCGTGGCGGGTTAAAAGAAGTTAACGTCCAAAGATGCCTCGCCACGTCGTGGTGATATTCCACCGCGTCGTGGCAACTAACTATGAATATAAAATGTACCTCAAGATTCAGATGTTATAGGATTCAAGAGAATAAGCATGATTAAGGGTCCACGAGGGCTCATTAGAGAATAAAGTAAGTACGGATGAGTATACCTAAAAATGTAGTGAGATGTTGTTTCCCTTAGATGATAGAGAGGATTGTTGTAAGAGAAAGGACCGTTGGGTCTATATGAGAATAGATGCTGAGGCATTAGAGTTGAGAATAGAATGATGGAGAGTAAGAAGAGCATGAGACGAGCATGCTAAAAGTAAGAGATATGTTAAGAGCAAAGTAAGATTATAAAAAAAAGCATGCATAGAGTATGAGAAGAACATACAAAGTATGGGAAAGATAAGAGATATGGAAAAAAGAATATTAAGAGAGAGATAAAGAAGAGAATATAAAGTATGAGTAGAGTATGATATGAGTATGAGAAGAGACTAAGAAAAGAATATGAGAAAAAAAGTGGACGACAGGGAAAGAAACAGATGAAACAAGAAAGAGTAGAAGCAAAAATTAGAGAAGAGTAGAAGAGATAGATGAAAGAAGAAAGAATAGCAGTGTATATTATTAGATAAAGAGTTAGATTGCAGAGTAAGAGAAAGAAGAGAAAGAAAGAAAGAGTACATGGACATGAAAACAAATAAAAATATAACTTACGAGCATGTGGTCTGATGTTGTAGAGATTTTCATGTTTTGCATGTGTAGGTAGCAGTCGTGGTACGTAAGAAGACAAAAGCACAATGACTTAGAATAGATTTAATTTCCTCGCTGTTTCAATTTGTATGTAAGATTCTATTGTAAACTCGTGATTAAACCTATGATTTAAAGTTTTTTAATTTTAGTAGAATTTGCATTGTAGATAGCACTCTGATAATTGCCTTAGATAATTGTATATAAAATATGGGTCATTACAGAGGTGATGTATACTTGTATCATATTGCATAATATGATTCTCGAAGATGAAGAAAATGCAATATGTGAGTATAATGAAAAGGAGATCGTTCCACCGACACAAACATTTGAGGTTGGAAGTGATGAGTACTTGACAATGAGAGCAATAATAAATGATGTTGAGCCCCATCATGTTATTCGTAGAGACTTGACGAAACATATTTTGACTGTTGCCACATCAATCTTAATGCAGTACCGGTCGATGATTTAGACGACCAATTTTCCGATGAATATGTCCTTTAGGCCTATCTATATTTTGTATTTTAATTTCTAGGTTTCGTAATTTTATTTTCCATGTTCTGTATTTTTAAATTCTATGTTGTTTGTTTTTTATAGGTTTGTTGTAATTTCCTTTAAAGTTTAATGAAATTTTAGTTTTAAAATAATCTGTTTAAATTCATTATTTTTAATATAATTTAATTTTAGAAAAATTAAATAACATATCAAACATGACAACCTATGGTCTCTAAATTACAAACTTTCGTAGCAACATGACAAATTATATCTGGCACTTACGTGGATTGTGAGAAGTGTGACACCACTCTCTAGCATAATAATGCATGAACATGATCTCTCTAGCCTAATGCATGAACACGATGCACATGCTTTGCGGTCATTTCTTAATAATTGAAAAAATATAGTTTTTGGGATAGATGTTCTAGAAATATTGTCTGGCTTTATGAATAACTTTATGACTTACCATAAATGGTCATAATCGGATAAAGTTGATAAATTTTTATTTTTATTTATTCATGTTTTTATAAATATGAAAATCATGTTTAACGGTTCATGAGGAAACGTGGAATCAAATCAGCTTTAAGTCGACAACAAACTTGCTTAAACCAAAATAGTTTCTCGGTGGTGTATTTTTCAATTGTTAAATACCCGATTGAGTCTTATGTCGACCCGGATGGATATCTTCTGGAAGAAAACCTAGTTAATCCATTCATTAAAAGTGGACTGGCTTCTAGAAGCCCATTATCAGATCACCATAACACGCAAACTACGTAGGCCTATACGTAAAGCCCATAGAGCCCACGCGCATCTTGCCCCATTCTATAAATACCATTTCTTCATCTAGGGTTTTTGAAGAAGACTCGACGCAGCAGCAAACAACCAGAATTTCGCCATGGGAAGAAGTAAGTCTTTCAATCTTCTATGTTGTAATTGTTACCACAGTTAATTATCGTCGAGTTGATTCGAAAAGAAATTTATACGATTAGGAATCGTATCCCTTCATCAGATGCAACTGTTGTGTAACATCGTTTATGCGTAATGTTTCTTCTTTGAATAAATCATGACTAGTTAGGTTATGAATTGTTTGAAGTTGTTCTATTTCGAGTTTTTGATGGTGTTTTGCATTTGTTTATCGGTAGTCGAACTCTAAGGAGATCTGTGCGATAGTTAGTTGGATAAATACCTCTCTTTTTCCCGATTCTAGCATTCGTTTATGAAATTGATTTGTATTGTACTCGAATTATTCCGAGCTGTTACATGACTCGTTCGTTTAATCGCCTTGTTGAAATGGCGGAAATAAACTGATGGATGTTTGAATCTAATTTGATGCAATCGAAAATCTGCAATTGTATTCCACCGGAAATTTTTTGATGTAATACTTGTTCTATGGTGCAGGACCGGCTAGATGTTACCGACAGATCAAGAACAAGCCATATCCCAAATCTCGTTACTGTAGAGGTGTGCCTGATCCCAAGATTAGGATCTACGATGTTGGAATGAAGAAGAAAGGAGTCGATGAGTTCCCCTTTTGCGTACACTTGGTCAGTTGGGAGAAAGAGAATGTCTCCAGTGAGGCACTTGAAGCAGCACGTATTGCCTGCAACAAGTACATGACAAAGTTTGCAGGAAAGGATGCTTTCCACTTGAGGGTTAGGGTTCATCCTTTCCATGTTCTTCGTATCAACAAGATGCTTTCATGTGCTGGAGCTGATAGGCTTCAGACTGGTATGAGAGGTGCCTTTGGAAAACCACAGGGAGTTTGTGCCCGTGTAAGCATTGGTCAAGTTCTTCTATCTGTTAGATGCAAAGATGGTAACAGTCAGCATGCTCAAGAGGCTCTTCGTAGGGCTAAATTCAAGTTCCCTGGTCGCCAAAAGATTATTGTCAGCAGGAAATGGTATGAATATGATTTTTAGCTACTCTTTTATTTTTTTTAAAGTTATCTAATGCTTCATTTTTTGTTTATAATGTTATTGTGATGGTGATTGCAGGGGATTTACTAAGTTCAGTCGTACTGACTATGTTCAGTGGAAATCTGAGAACCGAATCATGTCTGATGGTGTTAATGCTAAGGTATTGCTTTCTTTTTCATCTCTTTCTGTTTTTTGTCTATATTATCTAATATGAGGAACGTTTTGATTGTAATGATGATGATGATGCAGCTTCTTGGATGCCATGGGCCTCTTGCAAATCGTCAACCTGGAAGAGCTTTCTTAGACGCAGTTGCATAAATTTTATCCCAGGAAGAAATAACCCTTTTTCTTGTTTTGCTAAAATGACATTTTATAATCGTGTTTTGTTTTTCCCTTGTGTTTGGGCTACTGCAATGCACTGAAAGGAATTCTTGCTACTTGAACTCGAATGCACGGTGGTTTGATTTATGTAGTCTTTCTTCTGGATGTTTGTTTGTGTGTGATTTTTTTACTGTTTCTTTGAAGGCTTAAGTATTTATAACAAATAGTATGAAAAAAAGGTTGTGCTAATTTTTTCGTTATGTAATG